AAGTACAAAAAAAAATACACTTTTACATAAGTATAAGTTGCATTTTAATTTCAGTCACTTTAGTTTTCTAACTTCTATTATGTTAATTGTAGACTGGTTCCACTATTAAAAGATAATAATTTTTCTTTTTTACCTGAAGGATTTTGTCATGAATTTTTAGTCCACTTTTCTCTGCTGGGCTGTCATCATAAACTTCTGTCACATAAATACCCTGATAACAAAAGAACAACCAAAATATGTGGTCACATTATTATTACAATCACAAGTCAAACACACAAACCACACCCATAACTTAAAATTGTAAACACCAAGTAAATAATGCCAGAAGCAAACTGTGTATGTAACAACAGTTCAATCATGACAGCTTTTCCTTTTCAAACTTAACACGCTCATACACAGAATCACCAAAATATACTGAAAAAAAATTAACTAGTTTTGTTGTATTTTGACTATTTGCTTTATTAACATAATATAATATTTTGGGACAACGTGGGACCTATTGGTCTATCTCGGCTGTTCCATCCTCAAAACAAAATTAAAATGATTAAATAAAATAAATAAAAAAACCCAGCACTTTTCAATCTTTTCTTAAACTTACTTAAATTTACTGCCTCTACAACATCTGAAGGCAACCCATTCCAAAGACCAACCACCCTCTTAAAAAAATAAAACTGTCTTAGCTGAAGATCACTCCTACCTTGCAAAAATTGGTGCTACTATAGCAACGGTCTACTAGGACTTTAACACTATAGCGTATGGTCTACCGAGACTTTTTCACTTAGTTAAATACAGGTCAAGTCAGGTGGGGTCTTCTATGATCCCTTTGGGGTAGGGGTAATAGGGTCCGGTGTGTCCGTCAACTACGGATACTGCGGCAGACCGCAAGCTATAGTAGCACCCCAAAATTTATATTTGTGTCCCCTAGTCCTACTATTCTCATTGTTAAATATAAAAAAAGATGATCCATCAACACTATCAATTCCATTTACAATCTTAAACACCTCAATCAGAAACCCCCCTAACTTCTTGTGTCAATAAAAAACAATGAGAGATTTAAGTCTTTTATCGTATGACAACCCCTCCATCCCAGGCACCATTCTAATAACCTTTCTCTGAACCCTTTCCTTCAATGTCCTTCCTAAGGTAAGGAGCACAAGACTGAACACAATATTACAAATGTGGTCTATCCAGTGACCTGTACAATGAAAGTATAACCTCT